GGGTGACCCCCGCGGTTCCCTCCTCCGCGGCGCAGACCTTCCCCGGCCGGGCTTCCTCCAGGAGCATCGCGGTCGAGGCGTACCGCCTTCTCCGGCTGAATTGCAACCCGCTTGGTCGTACGTTTGCTTTTCCGAGGAAAACTCCGAGCGGAGCCCGGATTCGAAAACCGCCGCTCTAGGGCGATTAGTGACCGAGCAGCCTTCTCCAAGGGGTTATTTATTTATAACGCGTGGCTGTACTGAGTCAAGCCAAAGGCTCCTGTAGCCGGTGTCCACCAGTAGCGGTTGCTTAGGGGAAGAGCACTAAAATGGGACAAGGCTGGTGATGTGCCCCCCTCTAGCACCCTCCCGGCTTTCTGCAACCCGTGATTCAGGGACGGCTTGGTCCACGGGCAGTATCCTAGTAGTGTAGGACAGCCTTAGATGGATTTCCCTTCCGTTAATTAATTTGACTGCTGTTAGGGCTGGTTTGCACCCCGGGTTGTCCCAGCAGCCCGTAGCAGGGAGTTGCACAGCTTAACTGCGCGCAGCACGGGAAAAGCGCTATTTTTTCGCCTGCTCTGGCCCCACACCCAAGCTCTTGGGTGAATAACTGTGACCTAATTCCCTGCTTCGTGCGAGTCGTCGTGAACCAAACGGGGCAGGCAAGACGCCCCTTAAAGGGAGCAGGCGGTCTCTCGGCAGTTCACGCTCACCCAGCGCTTGCCCCCGTCCTCGGAGGGAAATTTGGGGTGGACCTGTTCGCTATAGACCTTTCTCTGGGCCACCCTATTGGACCGTGGTCTTCAGACCGTGGTCTTGACTCGCGGACTGTGTGCCGGCAATTGGGTGAGGAAACAGTGTCTGTTTGCTTCATCCAGACTTAAAAGATTACCTTGCTACTCTCAGTGAAAAAGCGGCAGTAACTTCAGTGCAGAGGTGATACCGTGCATATAAAAATATGCAGACTTGGGCATATCTGCCCGGCAGCTACCCTGAGAAAGGAAGCTGGAACCAAAACGGTTTGCTGTGCTAAAAATCTGCATTGGCACTGTCCGCTGTTCATAGGAGCGACTACAAAGGGCGCAGGGGAGAGATGGCCACACAGGGACGCGTTAACATAGTTAGGCGTTTGTGTCTTTTAAATGTCCTCCCTTAAAAGCTTGGGAAAAGGGGCCTTTAAAAAAATGACTTTTTAGATGACGTGTCTGGAGTAAAACACGCTTTATGATGCTCTGACTGCATCTGGTCCAAAACATTTCATGTGGAAGAAAGCAAAAAGAGGCCAAGTCAGAGAGAATAATTCAGCCGGCTGAGTGGGGAAGGTTTGTAAAAGCAGCCGTGTTTGGATGCGTGTGAGCTGTTTAGAGAGTCGCTCCTATGATTCATAAGTTCATCCTACATTTCTGGATGGCGCGCCTTCTCCTTCGCTGCTTGGGGAGGGAGCAGAGCGGTCGCAGGACACGCACCGTCTTTCCGTGGCTGGCCAAGCTTCCCAGCCAGGGCTTTCCGAAGAGACGAGTGACTTGGGGTCATCTCATTTCCGAGTCCTCCTGAGGGCCCAGGTTTTTCCAAAAGTGTTTGGCCCAAATGCCTTTTTTTTTTTTCTTTTTTTTATATTTCCTTGGTGCGTGTTTGTCAGTTATTCTGTAGCAAGGTGGTGGAAAGACAGTAATTGCCTTGCGCGGCATTGGACGCAAGCTCTGTAGAGCTGTGAACTCGAGGTGTTTTTAAAAATAGAAGCCCATCTGTGGCTGCGCACAAGGCTAGGTGAACGTCTTTGCAAAACTTGAGGTTTCTATCCTGCGCTGGCAGCACAACAGAAATAGCCGATAAGGAAAAAGCAGGTATCGTTTAAAAAAGTGAAAGCAAGCCCCAAGAATAAACAGCGTTGTTTCTCCTCCGCTCGCGCCGCGTGCGCGTCTCTTAACGTACGCTGGGAAAATTTCAAGCGATCTTTGCCTTCTCCCCTTTTGCAGGGAACACCCATTGCCTCCAGGTGTTGGCAGGGCAGGAGAGCCGATAAACAGTAGTAGCCCGTACCTTGAAACGGTGACTCCCGGTACCGGCCTCTTGTGCGCGCTCTCGTCTCCGTGAACAGCTTACCGCAGCTCGTCTGCCCAGGGCGAGCCCGTAGGAGTACGGGTGGTCTGCTCCCCGCTGCAAAGCATCTCCGGTGCGCGGGGCTGTGTACGTCCAACGCGCCCACCTGGCGTAAAGGACCGCACGCCTCTCCTCTCTCTTCCCCCCGCCTGCTCTCAGCGACGGCCGCGTCACGAGGGGCTGACGCTGCAGTCAAACCTCGGCGTCCCGTGGTGATTTCCAGCGCGGTGTAGGCCCTCGGGACCTTTTTGCTGGGTGTGGTGGCATCATCCTCGTCATCAGGCCTCTAATAACGTCCAAGGCTCCTTGTCAGACTTTATGGGGATGTTGACAGGTTGATTTGGGCGTGTTCAATCTGGGCAAAAGCCAGGCTTAGCAGGACCTGCAGCCAGATCAGTAGAAACGCTTGTAGGTTGGCTTGATGGGACTTGATGGGGAAGAGGGATTTTGCTGGTGGGGACTGGGACTGGGAGGGACTGAGGGCTGCCTGGCTGCAGATATTGGCTCCCTGGGCAGGAATATCTCTCTGTTGTTTGCCGAGGTATCTAACTCCTCTTTTTCCTTCCCCTTCAGCGAGTGGAGGTGTTTGTGAAGAGGACAGGCCAAAAGCTCCTGCGGAGCCAGCGCCCGGCACTCGGGGTGCCCCTGTGCCCCGTCCCGCTGACCCTCTGCCGCTTTGTGCCCTGCAGGGATGCTTGTGCGGGAGGTGCAGATCGAGGTCTCCCGGCAGCAGGTGGAGGAGCTCTTCGGCTTAGAGGACTACTGGTGTCAGTGCGTGGCCTGGAGCTCTGCGGGGACCACCAAAAGCCGGAGGGCCTACGTCCGGATAGCGTGTAAGTGTCCGATACCCGCAGCGCTCAGTCGAACGTGACCGCTTTTAGCAGTGCCGCCTGCCCCTCTGCAAGACCTAAGTGCCCCTGCCTAAACTGTCTCAATTCGCGGTCTGGTTTTCACGTTGGCTCTCCCACCTTTGGGGGGGCCCCTGAAGTGTTGCCGGCCTCTTTGCGCCTGGAGCGGGGGATCATCCTTACCCGTCCGCGGGGAGGTCGTGGCACGAGCTGGGCGAATGCTGCGCTGCCTAGCTCTTCCGGGGTGATCGTTAATGACCCAGCAGTTAGCACCTTGAGCGGTTTCCCTGCGTCAGCAGCTCCGCGTCCCTGGCGTCCCTCCTGTCATATGTCGCTTCTCCGAGCCGGTGTTCGCGGGTGTCAGTCTGATTAAGGGCGAGCTGGTCGGACGGTTGCCCAGCTGGATTTGCTCTCTTCCCGAATGGGATGGCAAAGCCGTAGCAGAACGGCCAGCAACCCTCGTCGTAAGCAGATTTTGCTAGAGGAGGGCTAATAATTCAGCATGCTATTGGGAACGGAGGAGCGCGATAAAAAGAAGGCAAAGTTCTTGCTGCCTTGCCTCTCTGCCCCGCCTTTGAAGGGTGATAACCCTCGGTGGCAGGCGAATTAGCTGCTGCATCGCTGGTGTCCCTAAAGGGTTTAGTTCGTTTAGGGAAAACGTTGCCAGGCAAAGGGCTGGCCGCTAAAGAAGCCTTTTTGTTCTGGAGCCGGTTCCAACCAAGTGTCTGGTGTTTCTCTGAAAGAGTCAATCAGATGAGATTAAATGGTTTCGGATGCCGTCTCGCTTATCTCCCGTATACCCGTCTGCATGGTAACTGGAGCTCCCTAGGTTTGGTAGTGTTATTTGCCATCCTGTAAATCAGGGGCTTTCTCTGTTACTAGCGCTGTAACAGGTTCTCAAAACTCCGTGAGGTTACAGTGCCTTCATAGCAGCAAAGGCTTCTGGGGCTTCTCATGAAAGCCTTTGCACGGGGCTGCGTGGCGTTGCATCTAAAGCACCATCGGGATGCTACGTACTGCTCTGTAACACACAAAACGTTACAAATGCACATGAAATGAAGATTACGTCGTGTGCTCTGTTGTCCTGCCACTAAGGCGCTTGGCGGGAGGCCATGGGTATCCTGCTCTAAGAAGTTTGGGATGGCCGCATTGAGCGGCTGGCAGGGGCAGCATCCCTGCAGGGCACTGGGAAAGCTGTGGTGGGGACAGGCACTTTCCCCGTCCTGCCCGAGCTCCTGGGGCCACCAAGGTGGCCCTCCGTGCCGCAGACACCAACAAGGAGTTCCTCCTCGTGCCCCATAGGGTCGGCTCAGCCGGGGAGAGCCTGGGGAAAGGGGAGCAGCAGGATGCGCCAAGGGGACGCTTCACTCCTGGAGGACACACGGGTGGGTAGTTCCCATGCTTGCGCTTGCAGGCGCTGTGCCCTGCTCAAGCGGGAGCCCAGGCTGTGCAGGGCTGGCCCTGAGGAGGCTGGAAGCTGTTGCAGAGGATTGCAGCACCATCTAGCGATACCTGGAGGCACGGGTTTGCAGCCTGGTGCCTTCAAAACGTAACGCCGTGCTGTGCATTACATATGATCTCACACATGCGTTCACAGGGGAGAACCAAGTCCCTCTCGGGCCAGGCTTTCAACAGTGATCGTTCTCCCTTTCAGCACTTGAGTGCCATGCCTGAGTTTCCAGCAGGTCTGGGCACCTGGCTCAGGTGGGACCCGCTAGGGCAGAACCAAGTGGAAAGTCTCTATAGTCTTGAAATCTGGGAGTTTGCTTGGGTGCCCACATGGAAGCCAAGCTCTTGTGAAAAATCTCACTTCCCCCCTTCAAAGAAGATGGGTCCCACTGCGGAGTCCAGAGAAGGCTGCATGAGGGGATCAGAGAGAAAGAAATGGGAGCGTTGAAGAAACACTGATGAAGTTGAGGTTTGGCCCCAGAAGAAGATGACAGAGTGGATATAAGCTTGCAAATATATAAAGGAGGAAAGGAGTGCTCTGCTCTGTGTATGAGGGTGGACTGTGCTGTGGGTGCAACTGCAGCAAGAAGGGTCAGGTTTGCCCTTGGGGAAGGCTTTCCATGGGCAGGCAAGCAAAGCACTGGGCTAGACAGCAGGGGAAGGGAAGGAGTCACAAAGCTCCAGCTATGTTATTTCAGAGGGATATCCCTACCCATGGGCTCCTGGTGCCCAGGTGGCCCTCTCCATCTTGCCAAGGCTTTGCAGATTGCCCTGTTTCTGCAGTGGGCTGCTAACCATTGGGTTTTTCCTCCTCAGACCTGAGGAAGAACTTTGACCAGGAGCCGCTAGGCAAAGAGGTCCCCCTGGAACAGGAGGTCCTGCTGCAGTGCCGTCCACCCGAGGGGGTGCCGCAGGCAGAGGTGAGTGGGGAAGGGCCACGCTGTCCGGTCACAGAATTCTCCGAGGAAGCTGGAGCTGAGCTGGGCTTCCAGTACCTCCCAGCCTAAAGCTTTCCACAAGAAATGCCTCCCATCCCTGTGGGTGTCTTCTCCTGTGAGGTTAGGAAAAAAGCTTTTTCTATTGCAGCCAGGTTGCCAGGATCTGAGTGGTTTGCAGCCACACCGACAGCAAGAGGGAGAGCATGTGAGATAGATTAGGCACATCCTTGCAGATGGATTGCCACCTGTGATGGATGGCCTCACATTGAGACCGTCAGCTTTCATTATGCAGCAAAATTGTTTATTTTGGGCAGCGGATCCGTTATTCTCACATCTAATAACACACTTAACCTCAACACCTGTTCAACCCACCTCTCCCTCTCCTCCTTATCTGCTATTAACCTGTTAGAAGCCAGGTCTGAGAGAGGAGAAGACACCAAATGACTTGTCTGAGGAGGAGAGAGAGGCTGAGGGCTGGAAAACTCAGGGTTTCCCTAGCATGGTGGTGAGCCATTAACCTTTGCCCCTGCCTCAGACCCAGTAACTCCCCACAGCTCCATTAGCCCCCCCTCTCCCCCCAGGAGCTGTCTGTTGATGACACCCCACATTGTCCCAATCTTGGAAGAAACTGTAGTCCCGATCCCAAATCAGGCTTGGCCTGGCCCAGCTTTCAAGCCGAAATGCACAGTTTTCTTGTGGGTAGGCAAAATTGTCGCGTTTCCAGCCCTCGGAGGCACTGGGAAGCCTGTTTACACGGTGCTCAACAAGCCGGCAGTTTCGGTGATGAAGATGAGGACCCTTTTAGGGGCAGGTCACAGGCTGGTCCGTGCTGCTCCGGGCCTGGGGAGGGGTTGCTCTCCATCAGTGCCTGTGAATTCAAGCCCTCCAATCTCATGTTTGTCCTCCTTTGTGCTCTCACCCACGCTCAGTGGCGGTATCGACACACGCCCTTCCCAAAACAGCCTAGTTAAGCACAGCCCAGAAACTGAGGGACACCTCTATAATTTAGTGCTGCACCCCATGTCGCCACCCATCAGCGGAGCAGCTGTTGTCTGGGGTTCGGCCAGCACCGGGAAGTCCGCGGCATCGTCCTGGCTGTCGTGCACAGATGCAAGGCCCTGGAGGTGGCTGTGCAAAGGAAGCAAAGGGCTGGGACCAGCATCCTCTTCATGCCCCGTCAGATCCCGTGCTTTGCTGTCATGTCCTGCTGGCACACAGAGATTTCAGCATGCGTTAAAGCAGCTGTACCCTAGCTTAACTAGGGGCCACTTGGAAAACGTCATGATGGGACCACGTGGGATGGAAATTTCCAGCGAAACTTGTAATGTATTTTTTCCTGGCTGAGCATTCAGTTCTTGCACAGCTTAATTGCCGTCCTCCCCCTTAGCCTTACCCCATCTCCTTCTTTCCGTTGCTAGGTGGAGTGGCTGAGGAATGAGGATGTCATTGATCCCACCCAGGACACCAACTTTCTGATCACCATCGATCACAACCTCATCATCAAGCAGGCCCGGCTCTTGGACACTGCTAATTACACCTGCATGGCCAAGAACATTGTGGCCAAGCGACGGAGCACCACAGCTGCTGTCATTGTCTACGGTACTGGCTCTCTGCACGCGGGGAGAGGGCCTTCGCTGTCAGTGGTGGCTCTAAGCTAAGGGGGACTATGGGCAGTTACTGGGAGTGGTTGGAGTCATCCCCACCAGGTCATTTCATTAAATTAGATAATATCCAATAGCTGCATAACAAGTACCTCTACCAGCTTGCACAGATCAGTTTGGCTCAGAATTCAGCCCAGGCTGAGTTTTGCTCTGAAACCAAAGATCAGCTGAGGACAGCTGTAAGGCAACCCAAGTCAAAGAGAGGGCAGAATCATTCCCAGCTTTGATGCTGCCAGAAGTTTCTGAGAACCAAGAAATATTTGCAGAACGGAAAGAAGTCCTTAACAGGCTTGAGTGTCTTGCGCTTGGGGTGCATGAGATGTGGAGGAGCCTCACGATTTGCTTGTGATGGGGGTGGACTGTTCCAGGGTGTCGGAGATTACATAAGGACAAGGGGACGCAGTGAATCATAAACTTAGCTCCATCCACAGCCTTCTCTGCCAAAATGGGCTCCCTTGTCTGTGTCGCTCCAGCTTTAAGCGACACATGCGTTGACCGTGTTCGTCTTCTCTTTTAGTGAATGGTGGCTGGTCCACCTGGTCCGAATGGTCTCCTTGCAACAACCGCTGTGGCCGGGGCTGGCAGAAGCGCACCCGGACTTGCACCAACCCAGCACCGCTGAATGGTGGCTCCTTCTGCGATGGGCAACCTTTCCAGAAAATAACCTGCACCACGCTCTGCCCAGGTAAGTGGGATTCATAAAGCTGTGTGGCAACACTGATGTCCTCCCTGCTGCTGCCATGACTGCGTGATCTAGTTGTGCTCCTCAAGGAGACAGGGGCTAGAGTTGTCTGCAGAGACAGAGCACGATCTCCCTGGATAGCTTCAGGGCTTGGCTTGCCGGGAGGGTGCTCCCTGAAGGTCTCTGGAGGTCCTGAGATGGACACAGCTGCCTTTCTGCTTCTAGATGTCCTTGTTTCCCAGCTGTTGTTGACACTAGCACTTCCTGGCTGACAGCTTGGGCTGCCCCGAGGCTTTAACAAAGCCTTTAACGAAGCGTTCTCTCTCCCACTTGGTGGCCCACAGTAGATGGAGCGTGGACGGAGTGGAGCAAGTGGTCGGCCTGCAGCACGGAGTGCACCCATTGGCGGAGCCGGGAATGCGCCGCCCCGTCCCCCCGCAACGGCGGCAAGGACTGCAGCGGCGTGCTGCTGGACTCCAAAAACTGCACCGACGGGCTGTGCATGCAGAGTGAGTGCGTGGGCAAGCGGGGCTGTGGGCTGGAGAGGGGAGGCACTGTCAGGCAAACGCGCCTTGCACGTGCAGGTGCCGGTTGCGTTGCTATACGCCCAGTCGACTTGGAGGAAAGATGTGCTAAAGCTGATCTCTTTGGGTCAGAGCAATGTGGGCATGGTTTTCTCTTTGCTTGCGGTGTGTGCTGTCAATCAGAGGGCCACCTGCTGTGTCTTCTCTGGAGGGATCTAGCCGGGAGATGCCTTGCTGCTCTTGGAAGGCAAGCCTGCTGCCTGGCAAAGGGACAGAGCGCTCTGCAGCTCCCCAGCCCACACGCGTGAGAAGACGACATCGGTTTTCATTATGGCTAGTCCATTAACCTTCAGAAATCATGAACGGTCTTGCAGGGGGAAGAGGGAGAATCGATGTGTATTGACAGAAGGAAAGGAGACTGGTGCAGAGGAGGAGGCAGAGGACCAGGGACTTTCAGATGCGTCTCCACGGTGGTGGTTCATTGTCCTCCCTTTCCCAGGGCTGGGGGTGAGGAGCTCTGCTGCTCTGCACCCCGGTCCGTGCTGGCTCCTCCGCGTGCCCGTCCTGAGCTGGCCGTTCTCCCTAAGCAAATCTGCCATCCCTCCGCTTGGAGGCCCCGCTCTGCGCGGGACCCTTGCATCTGGCTTCAGTTGGAGCTGAAAAGACTCAGCACCTTGCTGAATCAGACCTTTGGCAGTGCTTGTGCTGAGTCCCAACGCATTCGTTTCACCTGTAACCTAATTCCTGAGGGCAAGAAATGTTTTTTTTAGCCTTTTATTTGTAATAATGATTTTTAAATCATGTCTTCAACGAGGTTTCCACCAGGCTGACCCCTTCCAAAGCTAGTTCTCGCCTGGTGCAAAGGAAGGTTTGGTCGCCGGCGTGGGATGTAAACGTCTCAGCTGAGCCTTCTGAAATCTGAGCTCTGCTTGGGGTCTCCCTGGAAATAAGGGGGTTTAGCAGGGCCGATCCAGGCTGATTTTTCTTGACCTCCGCATGTAGATACCTGACCTATTTGGCACCAGCCCAGCAGCCGGGTCCTGCTGGCATCCAACTAGGGGAGGGTGGGAGGGAGATGGGC